CTATGGGCCCAGGGATGAGTTCAACACACTCCCTGGCTCTCAAAAGTCACAATCTAAGAAAAAGTGACTCACACATGATGCTTCCAGGACAGATAGAGGACCACAACCCAGGACTGTCACCAGAATCACAGCTGGGATTTCACAATTACCACAGCCTTACTAGCTAGTAAGGAATAATGATATTACGTGTCAAATCCCCACGAAGGTTTCCACATAAAGGAAATTTGGGCAGATCTTTTTGAAAAGGGAATAATCTTCGGACGGTAAAAACTTCATTTTCTTTTTCCATGTTGTACTTTCCAATGTTAGCCGGAAGGTGTTAGAGAGGAAGGCCCCAGACTACTCAAGCTCTGAACTTGCTAGCCCTAGAATTTTATAAATGGGGCACAAGCCCCTCAGGGTGAGGACGACATTCAAGATAAACACAGACCCTCACACTGGCACAGCTAATTTATTAGACTGGGAGGGTTCCAGTTAAATTGGGAATTTTATGTACTGAAACAAATTTGGAACAGGAAGTATGGATTTTAAAGATGTAAGATTTTAAAGACATAACCCAAAGGTTTCTGGACAAGACTATAGTTTCTCCAGACTTCCCTTGGGCAATGGGGTTAGGGTTGACGTGAACGTCAATTGCAGAGCAGGGAACTGGGGTCCCAGCCAGATAGTGGGCTTGGCTGGGCTTTTCTTGGTCCCTGGGCCCTGACCTCTCAGAGTCATCCTCTGAGTCATCGTCCCCCTCTGGCCTTCTCCAGGGCCTCCCAGATCACGGGTGTTCTAAGCTTAGGGATTGACCCACCTAGGTTCAAGAGGATAAGAATATCGAGGTGTGCAAATACAATGTGTCTGCCTGGTTCTTAATTTAGTTCTCAGTTTTTACTGGCTTGGAAGGGACTTGTGGGACATATAGGTCATCTTTCGCTTTCCAATAATGTTTTGATGCTTGAACATCAAAAGTCCTCCAGGAGGGCTTCAAAAGAGATAGAATATAAATTCCTCCAGGGGCAGGGTTCTATTCACAGCCATCCCCCCAGGGACTGGAGGCACCAGAAATTTCTGTTGCATGACTGAGTAAGCAAATAAAGATTTATGTGACCTGTCAATACTCGGTGTCTTGTTTAAAGCTGACCTGCATGGTTTTATAACCAGTTCCCTCAGTCTTTTTGAAGCCCTGCATTGGAGACAACACATCACCTGTATTTCTGTCTCCATTTCTGTCTCTGTGGTCTCAAGCTGGTGAGCCCTTGAGCCTGGGGAGAAGGAAGGAGGAAGAGGGAAAATCTCTCTTCTACACGGTCATCTTCTGTCTCTGGGTTGTAGACGCCTCACTTCCCCGGCTGGGGCATTGCTTTAATGAGCTAGACATAGCAGGACACCACGGCCAGTGGATTTTATCAGCAGTTACAATCCACAATTGTCATCTTCATTCTGAATTTCTTCAGAAGCCAGTGTGCTCCTGATAGACTGGGGTCCAGTCGTAGGTAGTAGCTTAGAGCCACCAAGTGTCAGTCTATGAAAGGTGACAGAACAGAACACTTGCAGGTAGAGGCAAGACGGGGAGGGCCCACAGGGCAGTATCTCTGTCACCACCTGCCCCCACCCTGCCCAACTGCATCCTTCCGGTGCATCTACCGCGTGTGTGTTCAGTTGAGCTACATTTGGCCTGAGGACATGGCCACACTCTGGGTCCCTACCCACCAAACTGCAGCCTGACTGAGTAGCCCAACCTAGTTGTATATTTTTGTAGCACACAGCCGAGTCTCAGCTAATCACAGCAGCTCAGCTTCCATCAGCCCCAGGTCAACTCATCGGATTGTCTTGGAATAAGGCAGCGACCGGTCACTTTCATTGTCCCCCCAACAGACACCACAGAGCCGTCCCATTCACACACTGTTCTCAGTTAAACTTTGTTGAGTTCAATTTGTCCGAAGTTTTTCATTGTATCATGTGCGCTAAATTCCTGCTGCTGGCCTGCCTTCACTGTTACACCGTGTTCTCTTCGCAAAAACACAACAGAGGCTTCTGAGCGGCCACTTACCTCTGTAATTATCTTCACTTTCTCCTCCCTGGGATTCATTTTGGCTGCAAAGGATCCCTGACTGAAAAAGAACAATGACGAAGTCAGGTGTGTTGAAACCCATGAAATGTTGTCATTCTTGTCTCCATGTGCACACAGGAAGTGGGCGAGTGTTACAGGTGAGCCGACTGCCTGTGCCCCAGGAGGGCTGCAGCCCCCAGGGCTGGGGGAGCCTGAACACTAGAGGAAAAAGGAAGGATGCCGGAGCGCTTGGCCCACATGGTGCCACGGTGCC